TATTTGGTTTAAAATACCCAAATAGGTGGCGTCCCCATCTCAATTGATAATGATAATTATATTAAATTGTCCCGGCTAAAGTTAACCCAGCTAATATTAGGCTACGGCCACACGGGCGTTTTTTTCACGCACAAACGCAGCGTGAAAACACGCGAAAAATTAGAGTAGCATTGGAACAAATAGGCACCCGCTACTGCGGGAAAACACACTCCGTGTGGCATACCTCATTAAATTTAATGCTGCTTATATTTCTCGCGTTTTTTCATGCTGCGTTCTTGCGTGAAAAAACGCCCGTGTGGCCGTAGCAAGTCAGTAGCGAATCTAATCTCATTCTTTCAAAATTCATCTTTCACCCATCTTTGCAATAAAACGCAACCGGGAATGTCAGACTTTGTAGTGAATAGTCAATGTGTGGACCTAATAATAAGTTATACATTCTTAAAACTATGTAGTAAGTTTGCATAATGATGCAACTGACTAAATAAATAAATAATTTGACGTTAATTTTTATTAATTACTGTTTTTGTCAAGTTATTCACTTATTTTTACTCGTATAATTTTATATTTATCAGTCGTAACAAAACACCAACAGAACAAACAGTATAAAAAAAAAAAACAACTGGAAATCAAAGTGTGTTTTCAGGTGCAAAAAACCAGCGAGAATATTTCCCATTATGAAAAAGGGTCACGGTCAAAGGGAAATTGAGAGCCTAAACCCAGGGCTCAGCCGATGTCAATTTGCTCTTTATTTGTATCCCGGATTACGTTTAGCGGACGAAGGTTTTATATCCACCCATCAATGCGGGATATGTTTTCTGTTCAAATTCTAAATTTGTCAATGCCATTTTAGTCCTGCAATATATTTGCTTATGCATTGCCATTCATATTGGAGCACAACATTTTTAATTTTGCACGACATTTTTGCATAGTTCAAGTCAGTTGGAAAGAGGAAAAATAGTTTATAATATTTTAGACTATTATACCTAGAGATTGTATAACACAATTAATGGTTTACTATCATTGTAGAGTGTAAAGTAAAGTAACTGTTAATGATTTTTATTACTATATATATTTCAGAAAATTTCAAAAGTTTTTTGTACTTTAAACAAAATTTACTATTACAGGTTCATCGCATTATTTATACTTAATATTTATACTTAACATCAAGATACTACTACAAAACTACTAACTAGTTTCCTATTTGTATAAAGTTTAATATTCCCATTTAATTACGTAATTTTTATATTTTAGGATTAACGTATTTCATAATTAATTCATAATTCATATTCTTTATTCATATTTTTTTACAAAGTTGGTACAATGCATAGCGTCAATAAAAATAAATACAATTACAATGATATTAGTAAATAATATGATTATTTACTAATATCATTTTATTTTACAGTGAAGCTTATTGCCTTTTTTAGAGTGGCTTTATAATATGTTTGTTGTTTTTGGTTCAACATGGTGCAAGTAGTGTGTTATGATTTACTCATACCTTAATCTAAGTTAGGTTAAAATTACACTGTGTAATTTCTGTAAAAATAAGAAATAATACTATTTCTCTGATTCAGATTTCCGATATAATAGAATTTTTAAATTGTATCTAAATACAATATCGAGGGATAATAGAAGCAGCATTTTTAAATTCTAATTTTATATTGGACGTAAATTTCATTTTATTCTATGTTTCTTTGAATAACAATCTATATGGCTGTATATTTGCTCAGTCTTTCAACTTTTCTCTAATAGAGGTTTATCAAAGTTATTTAAAAGACATTTTCTTACAATCACCTCTTACAAAGTATTAAAATTCAAGAACTTAAATTACAACAATTAACTATACAAAAAATGTAATCATTCCCCAATGTTATAATATAAAACAATATGATTAGTTTTACATTATGACATAAGAAAAATCTACTAAAACAACTCACATTTGACAGGTTTTTACGGAGTTATCGCTATTTCCTCAGTGTTAAAAGGTAAGCATGTACGTGATAATTTTAATATAAGTAATGAAATCAGCCTTTGGGTCTCATATCAAAGAGAAATCCTTGAATCGGAGACCTTTAGCGCGCAATAAACTCTTAAGGAATGCCAAAGATTCTTCAGACTTTGGTAATTTTAAACCTTTGATCTTTTAGAACCGATCTATTCTTTATCTTCACAATGGATGCAATTAATTTAAGACTCAGTAAAGCCAAATTAAAAATATAGAAGGCAATGCAGGTTGTACAAGATTATTTAGAATCTCAAAATCTAAAAACCTACTTTGTCCCTTAATGGATGTCGTAAATGAAAATAAATTAAGTCTTATTAATCAATTATGCATTTGAATTTATTGAAGTGCGAATTTTTATACTTTCCATCAATTTCAATTTGTCAATTGAAACAGAATTTCATTAGTATGCAGGAAAGGTACGGGTGTGACAGGCCAATTTAGAATCAATTTATTGAACAATGGCGGAGAACTGTAAAAGTTTCGGCTGTTGGAAACTGTAATTTATACATTTAATTGGAACATTCCACATTGGAAATTGGAATGCACGGGTAAAGAATGTTTTGGTCTGTAATTAGATTTTCATTGAATTATGTGGTGTTTGTTTGAATGCGAATTCCAATATTATGTAATAGTTGTTAGTATTCGGTTGATGATTGTCTATAGTTAGTGTGGCAAAATCGGGTCCATATCTTGCCTAACAGAACTTGCCCTAAGAGACAATATAACCCAGTGATTTGGAGATTTAATTTGTGTCCACCTTGAAAATAAAAATGTATACGATTTTCGGGCCAAGAGAGCTAAGTTTAAACGTTCTGCCTCAAATAAATACACAAATTTTAACCAAAAAGATTAACCAGGCTTTAAACTATACTACACCTTTATTTATTAAATAACTTCTTGATCAGCATTGTACGTGTTATTAAATTTACGGAAAGTAAATAAAAGATACGTCTTATAACACTTAAAACATATATTTACTCTTATACTGTTACTCACAAGACGGTAAATATACAAAAGAGATAGTAAGTGGTTACAACAAGTGGTTACAAATATACAACCACTTACCATGTCTTTTGTATATTTACCGTCTTGTGAGTAACAGTATAAGAGTAAATATATGTTTTAAGTGTTATAAGACGTATCTTTTATTTATTTCCCTTTATTTATTACAAACCAAGAGTAGAAGAGTAGAGGAGTAAACACCAACACATAGTGGCTGTTAAATTAATCATTAAATAGGAGAACAAAAAAACATATAGGCAACATCAATGCAATCAAAGAAAACCAGCTATGAAACAAGTACGGTACATCAAAATGCATACAATTGTACAACATCGTCATGAAAAATCTATCTACAGTATCCAAAATAAAAACAATACCACAGTTTTACCCTCATGAAGTAATGATTTGTAAATATTTAAACTGAAAATGTTTTTTAAGTTTTCCTAGATGAAATTCAAAATGTATAATTGTTTTAAATGTCAAACAAACTCATTAAAATAGTATGAAAACCTAATTATAATATCAAAACATAACAATTTCATGTAATCCAAAGGAGTCATAAAAAGTTACGTAATCAAATAGACTTTTATGAACTTGTTACCAAGTTAAAACAAGCCTTGAAATGGTGTACTGTTAAATTGTAACATTTCTGGACTACAAATAGCTAAAGGACAGACAACTGAAACTGCCACGAGTCGAGTACTTTACTTCAGGCCAACTGTTTTTATTACGTGTTTATTAATTTGGAAAACAAGAGGGATTTAGTTTTCCAGAGCTGCATATTTTATTTACCTTCCAGGCGAACAATTTTTAAATTGCTGGCCTCAACTTGAGCTCATTATGCTTTAAATGTTTATCGAGTGAAACTATAGATCGTTGATGATGAAAATAGAATTTTTCATAGTTGAAGAGTTATATTTTACAAAAACCAGATACCTAACCACAAATTATTGAAATTTATTTTGTCAAACTAATATTGATTATTATTAATTTTTTAATATAAAAAGTGTTTTTAAAATATTCCTCCTGTCCTATATTTCCTTGTATACGGTTTTATAATGTCACTGTTGACTATAATGAGGTAAAATAGTTGCTGATAAAATACAACTGAGTAGTATATGCCAAGTGACAGGGCTTGATTTCAATAAATTAAGATGCCGGAACTGAAAGCAACTGGGTATTTTTTATAAATAGGCCTACTATATTTTGAAACTAAACACAATTTTATTGTTTGAAGTCCTGGAACGCCATTCCAATACATTACCTTAAATTAACCCCTGTTCATTAGACTACACATATAAGTGCAAAGGTAAGAATAGGGATTTTACTAAGGTTCCATGGGTAGCTCCAGCATGGATTCTATGAGGGGGGTATTGCTTGGAATCTTGGGTTGTAGGCTGTTTACCCCCGGGGGCTATAGAATCTCCGGGGGGCTGGAGGGTACATTTAGTGACATTTTTTGGTAATATTCGATGGATTAAGATTAAATCCCAGAAGACATTTAAATGACAATATTTATATTTTCCGCTCAATGTAGGCCTATTTTGGAGTATTAGTATTGTGACAAATTCAACTAAAAATGAATTGAGTGTAAGTCAATGAGCCTTATTTAGTCTATAAAAAAGTACGTACCCTACTTTCTATAAAAACCCAATTAAGTTTAATTTGAAGGAAAAGGGATTCCAATAGTAATCCGCATGCAACCACCTCAGCCCGTCAGCCGTCTTGAATAGCGAAACTTTTGCTGCAAGTTGAAGTGAAATTTGAGTAATTCTGTCACTTAAATACACAAAAGGGCTGTTTCGGAGTCGATAACAGCAAAGTTACTTCAGGCAAGTGTAAATGTGCAAGTTTGTATTTTGAAGTGCGAGGATGGAAAATGAAAGTGAAGTATTGACAACTGCCGGCAGGGGCATAAGTGTCAGTTCATTGCCGCGCATGCGCACAACAGCGCTGTTGTTCCAACAGCTGATTTGAAATGGCTGCTCTTGATCAAACTGAGCAGACGCCAACTTCGCCGTCGAATTTTATAAGGTTTCGTGTCTAGACAGTGTTTACTTCAGTCAGGAATCGGACTTCGAAATGGAACCTTATCGGTGTGATTGATTAACTAAATCGCGTATCTTCAAACTCGATATTTCTAAATTATGGCTTTTGGATTCACAGTTGCAAATGATGTTTATTGGTTACTTTTCGTGGTTGTGTTCTTTTCAGCAAATTTGGGAGACTCTCTGCTGCTGATAAATGTAAAAAATCAGGTATGTGAAAAGTGATTGTGATTTGATTTGACTAAGTGCTTTTTAAAGCCTTGGGAATCAACATAACAGTTTTAAGCTTAAGTAACTTAGTCAAACCTCTGATGATTATGCTTGGCTTAAGAATGCTAGCACTGCAAAGATATGACAATTTCAAGGTTAGGGTATCCTGCTCTAACATAGGCCTAAGTTGATGCTGCCACCTATAACTTAACTTAGTGCCTAAGAATTTAGCCTAGGTCATACCTACCCATTCACTAGAGGGCAAGATGGGTACCGTACAGTTTCTTAACTGGGCTACGCTAATATCGATTGAAACTATCAAATTGATAATATTGATTACTAATCGATGTTTTAAAATAATATCTCTATTATAAAATTGAACTATCATAACCTAACCTAACCAACCAAACTTGCTGATGGTGAAAAAAATCGCATGAAGGTTTACTAATCGAATCGATAGTTTCAATCGATATTAGCGTAGCCCAGTTAGGAAACTGTACCCGGCAAGATGAATAGTGTGCCTTTTCCCTGTTTAATGGGGTGGGTAAAATTTGACTGTTCCATAACAAACTTAACCTAAAGGCGCTTAACTTAGGGCTACCTAAAAAAACCCTAAACCATTAATCTCCCAAATAAACTGAAGCGATTTCCTGTCCATAAGTTAGTTCACTCTTGCATAATAACTTAGGCCTTATTTGTGTTAGGCTAAAGCTTTTTTATGTGCAACCATGACATCACCGCACTCTGTTTTAAGTGTACACTTTGCTCTGTGAGTAGTCAACCCTAAGTTAAGTAGACATTGACAGTTGGCAACTAAGCTTACATCGTCAATTTAATCGATAACCAAACTTATGTTAGTATAGGCTATGCTATAGAAAACTGATTGTTTGACCAGTTTGTTACAGTACAATGGATGCTTTAGGCATAACTTGGCAATAGGTTACAACGGATTCTGATATCAAAGTTTTACCGAAGTAAGCTTCTCCAACATTTAAAAGTTAGTTACTGTGATTCTCATATTATATGGGTACCGGTAATAGATAACTTAAGTTTACTAGCCTATTTTGTTTGATTGTAAGTTAGGCCTAGCGAAAACTAGATTAGGATTGGACTCCGTTTTAAGCCCTTTGTCTATTTCACGTCCAAAGTATAAGCTTAATTGAAGTCTCCATCTTTCATATTAAGTAGGGCCTTACCAAATTACTGAACTAGTTTGTTATTGGGCCTTGTGACTTGTGGGTAGGATTAATTTTAAATTGGGTTTAAGGTTAGTCGGATAGTTATCTTCTCATAAATTTTCATTATTTCCATTAGCATATTGCTGACCTTCTGTTTGCACAGTAAAATGTTTTAAGTAGGGAGTTGATACCGTAGTTTACTGGAATTATTTGGAATTCATTGTCTCCTAGTAAGCCACCGTAAGGTTATCATCGACTAACTTAATATAAGATAACATTCTGGTTTACTAGACATAAGGTACTAGCCTCTATATTTGAGCTTAACTCAGGCTTTGCCAAAAGTGAGGATTTAAAAGTATGGAAACGTACATAGTATGCAGGCTACAGAAGGTAAGATGTAAATGACCATCATATCTGGAAATGTCACCTCTAGTGAAATTTCTCATGTTGTTTTCTTTGGTTAAGTCATGTAGAAATAATTAAAACTGGCTGAGTAGCTGGTTGGTTATAGTGCTCACCTAACAATCAAAAGATTTCCGGTTCGATAGTAAAAATTCAGTACCCTAGCGTTTTGATGATTCGAAACTGGACCGAGCTGTTCAACTGATCATTGGGCTTTAATAGGTATAATTGATCCCGACTGATGAAACAGCAGATCTTAGTCCATAACAAAGCTACACAGATCATCTCACATCATTCTCTACACTCATTCTCTACTCATATTTAAGTTATTACCTAGGTGGCGTCCCCATCTAAATTAATCGATGTTCCTCTTTTTACTAAGAAGACCACTGGCTATTTTATTGTAGCCAATACTTGCAAACCAGGTGCTTTTTGCTTTTTATTAGCCTTAAGTATGTGTTTAACTTGGAGATCCGTTGTTAGCCTAGTGGTTAGCGTCTCGGACTTCGATACGGGAGGGACTGGTTGACTGGTTCAATTGCCAGCACATCCACAAAACTTTAATATGGGTTTGTACTGCTTTCCTCTAAAAGCGTTTGACTTCACTGTTAATTTCTAGTAAAAAAAGCCATCAGCGTGGGGGGGGGGGAGGGGAAACTTTGAATGGATTTAAGTTAACGTACATTTTTAAAAAGATTTGTGAACCATATCACTGTTTTACAAATTTTTTAGTGTAGAAATTACCCTATAAGTCATTGCAAATTTCAAGCATAACGGTAAGTCACTTTCAGAGTAATAAAAATAACAAAAAAACGCTATGATGGTGTCATGAGAAGCTAAAGATTGCAGAGTTAGTTACTTGCGGAGAGTTAATTAAGTTTATTTAATTTATTCATTCTTTTTCTGGTCAAATATCACTGTGTCTACTTACTTTTATTGGTTTACTAGTGTTACCCAGCGTGCGTTGCTGCGCTTAAGAGACTGCATTCGAACCTTTGATAGCCTATAGCCTAGTGCTGTATCGTGGTCAGGGAGGGAGGTGCCTTAAGGCCAACACACACCAGACAAGTCATAATATAGTCCATCTTAACATATATGAACTAGCAAGAACTATTAAATTAGCCAACACCCACCGGTTGGTTACAAATGAGGTTCTATGTGTAAGCTTACATGACTGTGACCACACATTTTTGGCGTTGTGCGGGATTGAAAAAAGTGCACTACAAATAGTAGAAGGGGAACGTCCAGGCACAGACGTATGCGGTGATATCCTCACTGAGCGATTTTGTTGCGTCTGCATAGACCTGTTGGGTGTGTTGACCCATTTTTTAAACAGGCTAGCAATATTTTGTCTGCGGACAGACGGACGCCTGGTGTGTTGGTCTTTAGACAGTTCAACTTTTGACCACACCTTTACTTTACTGCCTTCAAACTAAAGCCCAAGCGTGGTAGTTTATACTTAACATCCATAATGCAGCTCTCCACCACATAGTCCTTGAGAAGCCATTTGTGTTGTGTTGATCTCAAATAAAATAGCTGTTAGTAAAGCCAGAAAAGATTTATTTGTGTACTATGTCACAAATCAGAAATTTATTTCTAGAGGTTCAGGTGATCCTTCTAATTCGCTCGGTCAAAAGTAAGTGAATTTGGTTAACCAATAAGCCAAAATCAAGAACTTTCTTTTGGTAGTTCAAAATCAAGATCAACAGACACAACGTACCTTTAGCTTGTCTCACTATATCTCTCTTCAGGTAAGGAATTTATCATACAGTATTTAAGTATCAAAACAAATGTGGAAATTTATATTTGAGTTGTTTTGACTCTGGATCACTGAACAAACTATAAAAGGTATAAAATTACCTGAGTGCTGCCAGAGTGATCCTGTATAGTCCTTACAGGTTACGCGTTTCGAGGACTTAAAGTCCTCATCATCAGATCTCGTACAATTACATTTAACACTGTCACTTTGAAACTGTCGTTAAAAACAGTGATTGTAACACAAATTTAACCCCACTACATTTCAGCAATAAAGGCAACGTTATGGACACTTTTATAAATTTATAAAACAACCAAAATTCAACCTAACACATTATTAAATGACAAAATCAGTTTCCAGTCTAACGCTTTGTACGATAAAAAGACCAAGAACAGCTGATGAACAGGGAGCCGAGAGGTACAAAGTCCACCGCCCGACCATCTACAACTATGCGCACGCGGTCGGACATTGTAAGTTTTTGTCGTTAGGCCTACTCGTGTTTGTTCGTAAAACGTCTACGTCTGTATATTGTATGTGTCCGTGTTTCGTTTAAACTCTTGACGACCTTTTAGAAGTGAGTATTAAATGTTCTTGTACGAGATCTGATGATGAGGACATAAGTCCTTGAAACACGTAATCCGTAAGGACTATACAGAATCACTTTGGCAGCACTCAGGTAATTTTATAGATCACACGACTCATCCTACACTCATCTCCACTTTGTATGGTCACCATTTTTATTGAAAAGTATTGAAGTATACCTTTAATTGTAGAAATTTAATTTGCAAGTGACAAAGACCTTTTTATATATGAAAAATTTAGGCCTAGTTGTTTTGCACGTTGTAAAACGTTACACAGTTTAATTTCAATGCAGAACGGGTGAATAGAATCTTGCAATCACTCCCTAGAGGGTTTAGGCGGTGCGGAGGTGATGATGGCAACCCTGATCCAATTAAAGTTAACTCGCAGCCCCTTGTTAATTAAATACATAGCAGAAACTGTAATAGTTAATTAACCTCGATAACAGGTTCCCGCAGGAATATTCAGGTACAACTCCTTCTCTTTGTTCATTAAATATCTGGATAGAGTGTTAAAAAATAAAGACAAAGTTTTCGATGCAATTATATAATTTATGATCAAGAGTTTCTTTTATTTATTTTTTCATTTAAGGCTTGATCAGAGATCGGTTCAAACTGAAGTTTAATTGACTTAAGTATAATTCATTGTACAGTGGAGTTATCAGTTTATAATAAAATATGTTGACTTTTGGATTTTTAAGTAGACAACCTGTAAAAATAGACAATTTTTAGTCAATTGTGGTTATTTGAAGGATGATGAGCCACTTTTTGATTGTAATCTACATGAGAATAAAATGTCTATTTCTATTTATAACCAGAGTCATACTCCCAATGACAAATGCCAACATATCACAGGTCATGGTAACTTGAGAAAGTACTCACCCTAAGGGTCTGTAATTAGGTAAAGCATGAAGGAAAAAAGAAAAAAGGAAATTGTGAAGAGACTGCATTCTTCTCTTTACCATTAATTTCTTCTAAACACCACATGTGTTATGACAAAATTTTTTTCTATTGTTGACCGTTTTGCTCGGAATGCTGCCTGTTCCTCTATTTGTTAAGTGTGAAGTTTCTTTTTCAAAAATATCT